CATTCAGATGAGGTCCGCTGCACTTATGAAAGTTACAAAAGTTATGTAGTCAAGAATAGTGTGCCGTCTTTTGTTATTTGATTAGCATTAAAGTGCTAGGATTATGCAACAGACATTATACAGCTCAGTGCCTACACGCAGTTAATTAATAAACCATCGGTTTGTTACATCGGCCTTTTTCCTTCTATAGTTGATGGTTGTAAATTGAGGGAAAATCGGCCGATAAATATCGGTGGCCGATACATCGGTGCATCCCTAAGCTAGATGTATAAAAAAAAAACAGACCAATCACCATTCAGTATGCAAATAAATTTAATAGGAAAGACCAACAGCAATTATATACAAAATAAACTGTTTCAATTGAGCCTGCAAGTTAAAGCAGAATAATTTTTGGGATGCTCAATACTTCCTAATATGCAGGTATTTGCATTTAATTTGCAAATGTGAAAATTGTGGAGAAGAAAAGCAAGAAGATACATTTTAATACAGTTGCCTTGCTGTAATAACTTTCATTAATTCAGTTAAAAAATGACATGGCACCCAACTAACAAGAAAGACTGCATTTTAGGCACTGAAAGTGTAAGTATCATGCTTACCTGAGACCTTCACAGGTGCTGAGAGCTACGAGAGAGTCTTCATAACCCTCCACATGTCCTTGATAGTGACAGTTTTCCTAAACAAAACCACCAGCATTAGTACAGCTTGTTTTCCAAAAATATGTCAAGGTTAATGTGTTGGTTAATGGTTTTCATAAAAATACCACATGACTACCTGTTTTTAAGGCTAGAAGATCATTGTCCACTGAATATAAAGTATTTAACATACCATTTCCTCATTCCAAAACATGTAAAGTATGTGGTGGACAGTACCTCTTTTACATTTTATAACTAACGAATCAGGGGGAAAAAAATCTCACCAGTGTTTCTGTGTGTGCTTTCCCTTTCTCCAGTACATCATGAGACAACACAACAAAGTTCTTCGGTAAAAAATGTCTGGGGGAATACGAAATCAAATGAGATTTTTTTT